ACTACACTTTGAGAAACATTCAGATGGAGAAAACAGAATTACAGATGGACAATTGCAAGGCTGGCTGCCTGTTAAGTGCCGGGCTCTTGGAGAGGAAACAGATAATGAACAGGTGTCCAGCTCAGTCACAAGCAAGAAAGCCAGCAGACCATTTTCATGGTGGTCTACTGTCTTCTAGGGACAGTTGTGACCACTTACCAGTCTTTTCATTATTTTGTAGTTCAAAGAGCTACATGGTCCATAGTGTCCTCTCTGTATAGAATGAACAATTGAACTCAAGACAAAAGGGAGAAAAGGGGGAGTCTGTTATTAATAGACGATGCAGACTGGATTTGGAATGAGAAAACTAGCCTGGGTCTTGGTGGTAGTCTCTCACAGGACACCTGTTTCATGTACTGCACTTTCTCTGATTGGCTTTCTTAGCTTTATTTGTGATGTTTGCTTCCTCACAGCTTCTGTGAAAAATCATACCCACTATTTACTGGGTTCTTCTGTGTACGTAAGTGCTTTATATTCCTTTTCACAAAAACTCTAGGTATAATTGTTTATACTGTACAGATGAAGAAACTGATGGTAAGAAAAGGTAAACTTTACAGAGATGATACAGCTAATAAGTATTGTCCTTGAGACTGAATCCAGGTTTTCCGATTCCAAGATGCATACTCTTAATGGCTATATGCTTACCCACATATATATATATATGACTGTATTTATGGCCATAAACATATACCAGAGAATATGCAGCCCTATATACACGTCTCTGGGAATATATGTACATATACACAGGTATATATTCCCTGTGATATGTATTATGAGACTCTTGGCCCCTATGACTCCTTCTCATGTCCTTTGGCTCCAATTACCACTTGTAACTGCCTTTTCCCTTCAGCATTTCCTAACTAAAATTTTTGAGGATGAAAATTGACTTTGTCAACTGATCTTTTTGCCATGCCTTGGGTGCTATAGATTATCTTACCTTCATGTCACATGCCCACCCTGGTTCAGTAAGTTAGCCTTCTGGAAAAGAATCAACTAATACGGAGTAGAGTTAGATGGTGGGGCATTTTCACTTATATGGGCTGGGGACATTAAGGTTGGTAGTTTATTAGGCAACACGCTTTTATTGGTCTATCATGTACCAGTATATATTATGTGTGTAAACATTTTTTTCTAACACCAGACTAGTAGCTCAGATTTGCCATTTGAAGACCTGGGTTTACACAGTGACACCACCTTCTACAAGTTGTATTACCTTGGGCTAATGGCTTTATTTCTTGGAAAATTTCCCCACTGGCAACATAAATGTCACATGGCCCTTTCTGGGTATTGAGAATCTGTTGGGTGTAGGCACTGGGCTTAAACGCTGGAGCTCCCAGAAGGACGAATAACCATCCTGGGGAGTCTGTTTGCAGTCTAACAGGAGTTCATAAGACTCATCTGGAAGGGAGGGGGTTCTGTAAAATGCATATTCTGGGACCTAGCCCACCTCCAAAGATTCTGCTGTAGCAGACTTGGAATGGAGAACAGGATTTTCAGTTTATTAGGTGTGCCCTAGGCTACATGTGGTCAGGGGACTTAATGAGAAGCATTAGGAAGAAGAAAACAGACTTTCAGTGCTGCGGGGGGACATTAAGTGCTGAGAGAAGAACCAAGAGCTCTGGACCACCAGAGGAGGAACAATCAATACTGTGGGGTGCAGTGCCAGAGAAGGCTTTCCAGAGGTGACTCCTAGCTCAACAGGGACTCCTCCGGTGGAAGAGAGGGGAGGGCACAGGTGTTTTCTGGGGCCTAGAAAGGTCTTGGGGGCAGAGTAGCTTCCATAAGGCCAGGAAGGCAGATAAGCCAGAGCATGGAGAGCCTTGTTTGTTGCAAATTTACTTTCACTGAGAGGGGGCATCATAAATGTTTAAGTTGGTGACATGGGTTCAGATTTTACTTTTCGGAAGGTGATTTTGGCTTCAGCTTGGAGAACAGAATGTTGGGGGTGAGATGGACCACATGGAGACCTGAGAGGAGACAGTGGTCACAATCACAGGTGAGCTGTGATGAGGCCCCGAAGCCAGCCAGTGGGGTACAGATGGAGAGCAGGGGATGGATGTGATAGAGACGTAGGTGGGGAACGTCGGGAGTGAGGAACCTTGCTGAGGGGGGGGGGGGTGCCAGCCACCGAGACCTAGGTGGAGAGGAGGGAAACACAGAAATGAGTTTCAGTTCAGGTATATCTAGTAGAAAAGCCAGTAAATTGTTGGAAAAATTAAATTCTAGCTCCAAAGGGAGATCGAACTTTGTTTAGAAGTTTGCAAAAACTCTGATGTCTTGGTGATAACTGAAGGCATGGGTGTACTGAGAGTTCTCAAAAAGAACCTGAGGGGGCGGGGGGAGGAACATAGAATTAGAATCCTCAGAAATGGGTCCCCTCATCATAAGAATATACAAAATAATGGTCAAAAACGGAAAGCCAAAGAAGGAGTTTCAGGATAGCTTAGAGATGTGACAGCTTTGGAAACAATAACCCTGAATAATCCAATACAAAAAAATTAATAATGCTGGATGCCATTATTATTTTTGTTTCATTTCTCTAATATGTTTTGCTTCGCTGATTAACTATCATGTGCAATGGTATAACAATAAAAAAACAAAAAAAAACAACAACAAACAGCCCTGGCCGGTTTGGCTCAGCGGTTGGAGCGTCAGCCTGCCGTCCTGGGAGACCCGGGTTCGGTTCCCGCTAAGGGCGCGTACCTCGGTTGCAGTTTGTCCCCGGCCCTGGTCGGTCGTGCGGGTGGCAGCTACTCGATGTGTCCCTTTCACGTCGATGTTTCTCTCTCTCTCTCTCTGTTCCTCTCTCTTCCTCCCACTCTACCTGAACAAAAAATGGGAAAGTGTCCTCGAGTGAGGATAAAAAAAAACAAACAAAAAAACAAAACAAAACAAAAGTTACAGGATTATCTCTCTACCAAATGTCAATTCAACGTGGGGACAGAAGACAACATATAGATTTTTTATCCTATTATTAATTCAAGAATCATTTTTACAGCTCCTGCCTTGTATTTGGTACTGAGCTAAGCGTGGATGGTGAAGTGATGAGTTGGTTCCTGCCTGCAACAGGCTTACCTTAGTTTTGCTATGTGTGAGTTACTAAAACAGACATTGCAAATACAAAGTGATCCTGTGTGAGTCTGATTTGCCGCTTTCAAGGGGGCACAGAGTGGAGAGTGTCACAGAATGAAAACATGGTATAGCAGTAACAACATTGGGGAATCCAGATGAGAGAAACAATCAGGTAAAATGGGCCAGGCAAGACTTGGGGGAGGTGCGTTTTTAATACAATCCAGTCCAAGAAGTAAAACAGAAGGTCTTGCTGTAAAGTGAAGAGAGCACTACATTCAGGTTCTAGTCCTGTTACCACCCCTGCTAGGTAGCCTTAATCTTCCTGGGCATGGCTCTGTTTTCCAGGAACCTACAAGGGACAATCTCACAACGTTTGGAAGGGAGAATGGAGGCTTTAACATTCCACCCCCACCCCCCACCCCCCATTCTCTTGTCCAGGTGCTTCCAACAAGTAATTTCTCAGAGAGGCTCAGCCAGGAGTCAGGGGAACATAGGAGCTAACCTTGCTTGCCTCCCATGCTCCAGAGAAGAGAGGTGTTGGGGCCAGCTTCAGTTCAGCAGTTTTGTGGTTTGTTTTGGTTTTGTTTTTGCTTTTGATAGGATCAGATGGTTCATTTTCCGAGAGGCAAAAAGAACAATGTCATATTTAAGAGCAAGAGCCTTGGAGTCAGACTTGTGCTTAAATTCTGGATCTGCCTCTTATCCCCTGGGTGATCTTCTGGCAATTTATTCCACCTCCCCTAAGCCTCAGTCTTTGTTACCTAAAAATTTGGGATAAAGATATGTACCTCATAGGGATGTGGTGGGGATTAAAGGATATTGTTACAACCCCAGAGCACATTGCCGGGCACAGAATAGCTGATCAAAAAAACAAATCTGTTGATCCAACCAGCGCTAGCTATTGTTATTAACAACATCGAAGAAAAGCAGGGGACGCATAAACAGCAGTCACCTCCTCCCCAAATCTCTGCCAGGCAGAAAGCCAGCGTCCTGGAACTTAAAAGGACTTTCGATGGGGGAAACCTTGAATGGGTGGGATCCCGGAGTCCCTCGCGTAGGCAGAGGTGGCGAGAGCTGGGGTGGGTCGCAGTCCCCGGCATCTGGAGGGTACAAGTGACCCCCAACCCCAGCAGGGCTGGTACCCGGGAAGAGAGCCTTACTCTCCTGCCCCCCGCGTCTCGGGGCCAGTCTGGGGCGGGAGCGAGGGAAAGAGAGGAGGGGCGACTGGGGGAATTTCCCCGCCTCTCTCCTGATTCCATAAATCACCGCAGCCGCGGCGGCGGCCGAGCCGGGAAGTGCGCGGAGCCGGAGCGCAGCGTGGTGGCACCAGACACCTCCCTTTCCCCCCCACCGCTTTCTTTCTTTCAGGGTTTTTTTTCCTTCCCTCAAGCCTCCCCCTCTCCCTCCTCGCTCGGGTGGCTGCCCCAGCCCAGCAGCCGGGTCGCCGCTCCGCCTCCACAGGGTGCCGCCGGCCGTCTTGGCTGCCGCTGCCTCCCTGCGCCCGGACTCGGGAAGCGAAAGCTCGGCGGCTCCCGGCTCGCGCTCCGACTGTCAGCCCCGCGGCCGCGCGGCCCGCGCACCCGGTGCAGGCGCCGCCGCTCTTCCAGACGCCCCAGCGCCGCGGGGGCCGCGCCGGGGTCCCGGGGACAGCTCGGGCGGCCGCTTCCTCTCCCGCCCGCCGCCGGAGCCGGCGATGGTGGCCGCCCGCGCTCCCGCCCTGTAGCGGGGCGCCCCCTAAGTTTGGAAGCCGCCGCGGCGCGGAGAGGCGTCTGCACAAGGGGAAGAAAGTTTTGCGGGGTGCGCCGAGCGGGCCCTGGGCGCACCTCCCGGGGCTCTCTCCCCGCTTCCCGGCGCCTGGATCCCGTCGGCGGGGAGTGGGGGGAGGCAGCATGGCCCGCGAGCCGGAGGAAGAGGAGACGGCGGGGGCGGCCGCCCTGGCCCGCCGCTGCCGGGGCTTGCCCGGCCGGGCCGGGGCGGGAGCGCTGCGGCCGTCCCTCTGGCTGTTCTGCCTGTTCGCGTGCTGGCTGCTGGGCGCGGTGGCCGACGCCGACTTCTCCATCCTGGACGAGGCGCAAGTGCTGGCGAGCCAGATGCGGAGGCTAGCGGCCGAGGAGCTGGGGGTCGTCACCATGCAGGTAAATGGCCCCCATTGCGCCCCCAAACTTGCCAGTCATCCTGCCTCTCTCTGCGCAAAGCCCGGTCCCCAGTACAGGTCCCCTTGACCGTGCACCGACCTCTCTGGCTTTCACAGACTCCCCCCCCGCCCCCCATACCTCTGTTCTCTGCACAGGATCCTCCACCCCCAAATGCACACCAACTCTTCCTTGCACTCAGGTACCCCTCCCTTTCTCCTCTGCAGAACCCCCTGGTCTTTGCTTGGAACCCACTTTCCCTCCCGCCCAGCTCCTTTATCTCGGCAAGGATTCTCCGGTTCCCTCGCACCTCCTGCCCCAATTTGCACGAATCTCCTCCGCCGTCTTGTTTTTATCACCGCCCCTGCAAACTCCCCTTCCCTCTTTGTGTACCCATCCTGGGGCAGACGGCCCCGCCTGGCTCGGATCATTTTCCGAGGCCCCCAGCCTCTTGACCACCACCTCGTGTTCCCCCAACCGAGGCGCATTAATGGGCGCCCGGAGGAAAGGCACCCGTAGGGGAGGCACCAGCAGCTGCTCCAGGGCCACCTGGGTCCCGGCGGAGAGCGGCCCGGAGCGGACTCTGCGCTTCCAGTCCCCGCCGGGTGCATTGGGGGAGGGGTTGGCTTGGTAGATTCCTGACTCTTGTCCTGTGTGGGAGACTTTGTTTCGTTGTTGCTTTCTGCTGTTACCATTGTCCGTTGCGCGCTGTACGCTTTTTGTTTTGTTTTGTACATGTCTTTTTTGGGGGGTGAGGGACACAGTGAATAAGGTTCCTATTTCTCTACTTTGTTTACCGTGTAGCTCCTCCCGGGAAGAGTAAGGGGGCTTCAAAACGAACGAGCGGGTCTCATAAGGAATCTGAAGATGTTACTAACAACCAACAGTAATAAAAATTACTAAACGGCAATCACCTGGAGATTCTGTCCCGCCGCTATTTTAACCTACTTGGCTGGAAAGGCCCCCTCGATTAGGAGAGGTTGAGATGACATTGGGAGTCTAAAACCTTTGCTATAACTTTCTGCAGGAAAACAACCTTATTCTTTTATGCCTTCTAATAACAATAATGGTGATGAATGTGGTCTTCGAAAGAACGAAGTTTCCAGGAATGTGTTCTTGGAATAGGTTTCAGAATTCGGTTTTACTGTGACCACCGGCCCACCTCCCACTGGGAGGGAGAGGTGTTTTGAGTCCCTTTGGTGGGGTTTTGCTTTGCTTTGGTGGGATTCAAGTTTCTGACGTCTTTTTTTCTTTAACACCCCCTCCCCCGAGACTTCCTCAGTCTTTTCCCAGAATAATAGTTTTCCTAAAGCAAATTCTGCAAACCTTTTGCATTAAAATGAAAGACATTTAGGATTCTTTTTTTTTTTTTTTTTTTAAACAGTGAGGTTAGCCTGAAGAGTGGTTGGTTTGCTTGAAAGATAATTCTGTGTAGTATTTCTTTGCAGACACCCGGTCCTGAAGTGCAATAGAGTCCGATTCTTCTTCATTTGCATAGTAATAGACAAGCTTTTAAGTTACCCCATTTAACTGTCCTTTTCTGTGCAGATCTTCCAGGTTCAGATCTAGTTTATTATTTTTTTCTATATACATTTTGTGGTTTCTGATAATTGTTGACAGAGTTCTTAGGAGTGAAGCAACTGTTAGAGGAAACAGAACTAAAATGTTAGGGGAAAAACTAGCCCCCCCCCCCCCCAGTGGTGAATGTTTCAGTTCAGAACACAAACAATTGTATCTTTTCATGGAGACACCTCTTTTAATAAAGGAAATTTAATATGTTTAATAAATTTGAACTGTGCTGGTAAGACTAGTAGGCATTTGTCACCTTTACCCCATAACTAGGGCTGGACAAGGGACCCTAGGGTTTTTCCCCCACTTCCCCATATAAGCTAAGGGCTTGCTTTCTCTAAGATGCTGACAGCAGTTTTACTGTTTCTCACTCAATCCTTGACAAAAGGTGAAATCGGATCCTAACACATTGTCATTTAGGTAGGGATCCAAAGCAAATGTAGTTTTAAAAGGCTTCCCTGTTGAAAAGGAGACACTTTAGAAAAAAGCTCTGATCAGTGGGGGGTTTGTGCCCAAATGGCCCTTTATCTCCTCCCAACTGGCCTCTTTCTAACACCTTTGCAACCTCATTGTGGAAACTGGCCTCCTGGGGACAGGGTTTTGTCTGGCAAAATGTGAAGTAGCTTCTCTCCTTTTTTGAAAGGAGAAGCACATACTGTATTTAATATTTAAATTCCTCTTCTGGAGCTGTACATTGATCTACCACTTGCCTCCATTTGGAAAAATTGGGGAGGGCCTCTTTAATTTTGTTAGGCTGCCAGCTTTTTTTTAGAGTGGGGGTGGGGGTGGAGGTATACTTGCAAAATAAAATCTAAGGCAGGTAAGGTTTTGACCCATAGAACAAAGATTATGAGCCTTATATTTTCCTCTGTAATCTTCCAGAATTTGTTCAGTGGGCCTGAATTTTGTGGGGTTAGTTACCTAAATCTATCGTCCTGCCTCGTGGAATGTTGCATTTTATAGCTGCAGAGCTAATCTGTTATTAAGAGGTAGGAAGCCTCATGTGGGTATTAAGGTGGGCAGGTCAGACTTCCAGATGAGGGGGTTGGGGAAAGCTTAAGTCTCTTTGCAGGAACAAAAATGTCCTCCGTTGATAGAGGGATTGACTCCTTTCATTTGACCTTGGCATTTCCAGCTCAGTGCAGACCTTTCAGGACAGCATCTTATTTGATGAGAAACTTTCAAAATCAATGTATATGTAAAAAGCCTACTTTCGGACTTTTAAATTGCTTTCTGTTGCAGCTGAAGTTCTCCCAAGGCATTTTTTAGTTTTGAGAAATTGCAAAGTCAGTCCTGAGACGAGGCCTGCTGCAGCATTTCGAATGGCAGCACACGGACGGCTCACAGGAGGTTGCAAGGGGTAATTTTACAAAAACAAAAACCAGGCCTTCTTTCAGCACTGTAGTTTCCCATGACATAGTTCTTGTGCTTGCTGATAGAGAAGACAGTTTGAAAAGTGGTCCATCTTAAAGATTTTCTTGGAAAGGTTTTCTCCTGGAGGTTGCCTGCTCTTGTTGTTTTGTTGTTCCTTTTTAGTCATGGAGAAAAACAAAAATCTTGAAATGATTTGCACCAACTAATTTTGCCAGTGCCTTGGGAAAGCTGTCACTGAATTCTGCCCCCCCTGGCAGCAGACATCATACATCATGGGTAAAAGTCAAAACCTAATCATCATCTCCTCAGGGGCCTGGTGGAGTGAAACCATCTACATTGCGATCTGGGGAGCAGAGAGTGGCTGTGTCCAGGGAGCTTGCTTCTGCTTATTCATTCATGCAACAAGTTTTTTTCAAGCAGCATCGTGGACGAGGAAAGAACTGTACACTGGGTTCCAGCTTCGCTGCATACAAGTTGGATGATCTTCATCTGCAAATTAGGGAATGATTATTCTTCCCAGAGATTTGCTCTGTGGACCTAATGGAAAGAGTGCATGGGAAGGCACCTGTTAATGTGAGGCTGGGGCTGGGAAATGTTGATGGATGTGGTTGTTCTTAAATGGAGAAATAGTCATTGAAAGCTTACTACGCAAAGAGCACCATGCTAGGTGTTTAGGGGATTCACAAGGAGGTATTCCAGCACAGCCCCTTACATTTACAGTCTGGAGGAGGAGGTAAGATCGCACAGGTAAAACAGCTAAGTAACAATGCCTGCTTGTTAGAAGGCATATCTGGCTCTGGGAGCCATTTCACCAGGCACTTATAAGGCCCATTTAACATTATATGACAATACAGGCTTCCTAACAGTGAGGGCCTGGCACACTGCCAGTGTGCCCGCCTTGATGTTAGCTCTAACACAGCTCTGCTGGGCTGGGCATGGTCGCTGTGAATTTGGCAGACACACCAGCAGGTTGGTCAGACAGCTGCTGTATATGGCCTGAAAAGGGGTGGGGGCTAGGGTAGGCTGTCCTTCCAGTAGAGGCAGAATAACTATCAGAAACACACATCAAAACTTCAACTCAAGTTGAAGAAAGAGCAGCAACCGGGACAGATGTGATTTCAGGAACTGAAGGGCTCAACTGGGGCGAGGTGTTGGCCGAAAATAGAGAGCAATGTTGTAAATAGTGGCTGCAGCTGAAAGTGAAGGGGGGGGGGCTGCTTTGTATGCAGTTGAATAGCACTGCGTAAGTTCATTGTTCATTGTGCAACAGATGTTCAGCAAACTTTGGGGAAGGGGGCTTCTGCTTTATGAGAGGTCTTGGGTTAGGCGAAGCTGGGATGTAAGGTGAATAAGGCCGGGTCCGTGTCCTTAGCCCTCAACTGATGATGGAGACAGATACAAAAACAGGTGTTATGCCCTGGCCGGTTTGGCTCAGCTGTTAGCGTGTTGGCCCGCGGACTAGAGAGTCCCGGGTTCGGTTCCCGCTAAGGGCACGTGTCTTGGTTGCCGTTTGTCCCCAGGCCTGGTTTGGGTCGTGTGGATGTCTCTCTCACATCAATGTCTCTTTCTCTCTCTTCCTCTCACTCTCCCTCCGGCTCTATCTGAAGATAAATGCAAAAAAAAAAAAAAAAATAGCCTTGGGTGAGGACAAAAACAGGTGTTATGCTATAGAGCGTTAGTGAGACTCAGAGAGGTGTTGGAATGCAATGGGTCAGTGGCATGGTAGAGAGAGGAAGAGGCATTATGGGAGCACAGAAGAGGGCTGCCCAAGCCCATCTGATGACATCCCAGAGGGTGGCTATTCTTCCCTCGGCTGTTCGTGAATTGTCTGCATACAAAGACCAATCCTGAAAGCAGCAGCCTCAGAGATGAAGGGCAACCAGATCTAGTGCATCAGACATTTCTAATTTCCTTTCATGCCACTGGACAAGGTAGTTGGTGTATCTTAAATGCCTGATTGGGGGTGGCTCTGATTCTTGTATGCCTTCACATGACCCATGTCTTATTTCTTTGGCCATCACCCCTGAAGCTTCTGTGGGTACTGGATGTACACATCTTGG